TAGAATTAAAAACATGAAACTCCGCATTATTCACCTTTCAAAATTTCTGAGAAAGGTAAATAAATAACAAAATATACTAAAGTTAATTTCTTACTTGTTTATTTATTATTTAATCATATCAAGGGATGTTATAGTTTCATTAAATATCCATAAGCAGGTCAAGCGACAGGTATTTCATATTCAGCTACATGGCTAAAATGAAACATATGAAAATAGGTGACTATAAACACTTCAAAGAATCGCTTGACCAAATAAATACACGTCATGAAGTGCAGCTGTGCATTTAAGCAGGAGGAAGTGACTAACAAACTTTCACGGTAGCATGAAGCTCAGGTTCATCTTCCCTGCATCTTGCTGCATTTGAAAGTGTTTATTTATTTTTATTGGCTAATGTTTACCCAATACAAGGCCTGAGAGTCACTCAAGTTAGAGAGTTACCGTGTGGATTTGTATTAGCGTAAGAAATGGCAAGAAGTGATGTTCTTTGGGGCTATGCAGAAAAGATAAAAGCTAATTCCATACTTGAAGAGGTCAAGATTTAATTAGTGAATAATGTTAAAAAATATAGTGTTGGAGTAGATTAGAGAAGGGAAAGAAACCCTCATCCTAAACAGGGAACAAGGGATAAACCTTTATTCCTGTTCAAAAGACCGGGTAGGAGAGTGCGAACTGGACGATACTCAAGCCTATCTATTCCTTTTAGGAGAGGAAAAATAATAATTACAGAATACAATTTTAGAATTCAGACCGAGACGTCAGAAGTGCAGAGTTGAAGGAACCGGAAATCCAATACTAAACAGGAATCAAAGATAAACCTCTACTCCTGTTAAAAAAAAACAGGGAGGAGTATAAACTGGACGATAGGCGAACCTATTGGCTTTAAAATAAGAAGGCTAGTCTCTTTTATCTACTTTCTTATTTCAAGATTTCTAATAAACTGCAGAGGATCAGTCAACGTGTATCTTGAGTTTTTTTACTACTACTTTAAAACAGATGATCCACAACATTTCATATTATATCTGATAACCACGAAATTAATATTTCAATACAAATTCTCTGAGACACCTCAATTGGCTTTTATATTTACTTAGTGATCCATTGACTTGATTAACTGCATTACTGTCGGAGACGATAGAGATTTAATTTTACACTAAAATTTTATAAATTTAATTAAATTTCAGCTAATTTAAAAGCAACTATGTCACTGACAGGGCATTTCAATTTTATTCAAGATATACCAAACGTTCAGTTGGACTACACATTATACAAAAGAAATTCTCACAAATAATATTTATATTAATTTATTCTCGAATATTCCATTCCTAATGTATACTCTAAAATAAAATTATACGCCCCTTCTGTATGTAGGTGTATAAAATGTAAAACAAAACTGAAGTTAAAATCACCTGCCATTTTGGGCAAAGCTGTAATATCAGTTTTTCGTTTGCTTGATTTGACTTTAATATCAATAATTTTACCTCCTGCAACTGCTAAACCTTATACTTATAATAAAACACACACACACACACACACACACACACACACACACACACACACACACACACACACACACACACACACACACACACAGATATATATATATATATGTGTGTGTAAGAATACATATTTGTTATTATTGAAAGAGGAATTATGCATAACGCTTCAGAATCGACAGTCACAAGAAGAAATCTAGAAAACTACATGTTCAAAGGGGAGAAAATTAAGACTTTGCATGTATTTTGGGTATCATCAAAATACTCTGATCAAGAATGTTTAGGACGCTTTTATTTGGAACCATATTGGAAAAACACGCAATATATCCCACTCTTCTTTCTCTCCCCTCCTCTCATTTACATATCTACATACATGTATTTACATGTATTTGTATATACCTGGAGGAGTCGGATTAATACTGAGTATGTATATATATATATATATATATATATATATATATATATATATATATATATATATATATATATATATATATATATATATGTGTGTGTGTGTGCGTGTGTGGGTGGGTGTGTTTGCGAAAATATTGATTTACTTGATCTTTATCGATTCCGCTACTGGTAGTTTCATATGCACACGGAATGTTAAAATGCTAACTCATTCTGCAGGCGATGGAAAAGAAACAGAATATTTTTTATGTTTATTTATATTCAGTTTACTTTGTTCTTTTCCTACTACCATGTTAAAAACGGTAAAAACTTCAGTAACATCTAAGTATAATGTATATATACATGTATAGATATGTGTGTGCGTGTGTGTGTGATTTTACAATTAACTATATAAATTTAATATTAAATATATAGAGAGAGATGAGGAGAGAGAGACAGACAGAGAGACCAGGTTCTGGACGGTCACGTAGTACACACGCTTGCCATTGATCTACCACTGTTGCCCTTACAATAATAGCAGTGCGTTGTTTACTTACAGCAGTACTATGAGCAAACGTGTCTCTAGGCAAAGTTACGCCACAGCCCTATTTTGCACATATTTAGTAATATTCCAACACACACATACACACAAATATATATATATATATATATACATACATATATATATATATATATATATATATATATATATATATATATATATATATATTATGACTGCTTGTTTATTTTACATTTTGATTCACACAAGAAAATGGCTTACTGCATCATAACAGACAGCAGATGTTGGATTAAATAGGCAAGTAGAACGGACAATTTAAGCCCATTGATACGATGCATCTTAATATTGAATCCTGTGCAAGCTTAAGCAATTATCATTAATGACACTCCAAAATATATATGTATATTATATTCTTATCTAAAGCTACTACCTAATTTGAATCGAACAATAAAAGAAAACTGAATCGTCAGGCACAAGGTGAGTTCAAGGAGGAGCTACGGATTGGAGAATATCAGTATCAGACAGGTACAGAGATTAGGTAGTGCAATAATAGACGACGAAAAATTTAACACAAATTAGGACTATTAGCAGAAATGGCCTTTCAGAAAATAAACGAAGTACTAAGCCGTAGGGAAATTTTGCTACTGCTGATCTGATACACACACACACACACGCACGCATGCATCTCTCTCTCTCTCTCTCTCTCTCTCTCTCTCTCTCTCTCTCTCTTTCTCTATATATATATATATATATATATATATATAATTAATACAAGTAAAAGTTTTGTTACTTAGGTGATTGATGTTACCTTCAGCATCCTCACTCCAGAATTTCTCCGGGAATCATTACGTCCACTCGTCAGTGGGTATTGGCAATTGATATATATATATATATATATATATATATATATATATATATATATGATCAACAAGTAAATTTCTCAGAAAATGTGAATTAAAAGTACGCACATTTAAAATTATAAGAAGGTACTTAAATTTAATGAGAAAAAAGAGCTTGGAAAATTTAACACTCGCCGAACATACTGAGGAGGTGGTAGCGTCAAATAATGAGTAACCTACATAATGGGTTTGTGTGAATGGATTGGACAACGGAAACAAAGAAGGACGATAAAGGGTCAAACATTGCTTAAGTCTACAAAGGGCAGGAAGCTGTGAATAGCCATGATCAACCACGTCTTGAAATTTGCACGGTATATAAAAAACGATAATACTTTAAATAGGTTAGTTTAAATTGCACTTTATACTTAAGATGATTTTAATCCGAGCATAACAAGACTATAAGTATCTGGGAGCCTTTATCAGTTATAACACATTTAGTAAAGGGGATGAAGTTAAACACAGGATAGTTTGAACTGTCAATACTTTTACCCAATACTATAAGATGATACAAAAAATATCAATTGACCTGAAAATATCTAACATGTCTAAACTGTCATCCATATACGACCGTTTTCTCAGATCAGTGGTTTAAAGTTGGTTCAAATAAACTGACCCTATAAATCTTAAAGATGATTTTTCATTTAATCCTATAGTCGGGATTACAAAATCACAAGCAAAATTTACCAAATAAGAAAAAACAAATTACTTGAACATATCTAATTGCAAAAACAGAAATAGGTAAAAAAAATAATATGGTAAACCAGTTAACTTTTCATGAAATGAAAAGCGAAAAATTTGGGAAGAAACTTTCATTGATATTAGAAAGAGATATAAAAATTAGTGGACTTCGGAGTTCTGTTTTATTGAATAATTTGTTTTGTTTAGGAATTTATAAATTTCAGCCGACAAATTAATAACCATTCGTTCAATGAATGTCGAATAGTTCATGTATGTATGAAAACGACAAATTCTATCTTTATTATATGATTGAATATTAACATTACCATAAGATTACTAATATATATATATATATATATATATATATATATATATATATATATATATATATATATACATAATTTATATAAGTTTACTATAATATTAAATATTAACAATTTTTATTCATTGATTATATTGATATAAACACGTTTCTTTCCTAGTCCAGTCTTTACGTACAATTTTAAGCACTTGAATAATTTCTATGTTCCTACGTAGTCAATACAATTGAATGCTTGGAAAATCCACTATGCAATAAATATCTATCATTATACATCAGTGTTTGTCTGGGGGAAGCAGAGCGCAAACCATCAGCAGATGTCCACTCAAATGCATTCATATTATGCATAACTTGACCATCATAACAAGAAAGTCCAGAAGTTATGACCCGTTAGTGAGTAAATATAAAAAAAAATTGTAATGCTATTGGTTATGAGTAAAAATAAAAAAAAAAAAGAACCCCCACACAAAAATCAACTTTGCAGTGAATGACATGTTTAAGTATTTTTCCGGTCACGCAATATCTGTTCGAACAAGACCATTCCGCAGAGATTTCCTAGTTTCACTCGGAAAAAAAAAGAGATTTAACCTCCTTTCTCATCAGATTATAAATCTCGAAGAGAAAACTTCTTTGATATACCGGGTCCCTTCAGGATGTGGGCGATTATGACACTTCACAATTTATCATTCTTAGGTCTAAGTTTACGGCCATAACACGTTGAACCACCGATTCTCGTGCGATTACCGAAGTTAAGCAGTATCGAGCCTGGCCAGTACCTAGACAGGTGACCTCTTGGGGATACCAGGTGCTGTAAGCTTGAATATGCTGATGGTGCAATTAATAGCGGCTTGGAATTGGAAATCGGAGAGTCGAGTTCTAATTTTATTCTGGTTCATTATATTCACTTACGGTGACGGTATGAATCCACCTCTTCTTCCCCCAGCTATAGGTTAATTTGTAGGACTTGTATCAATAAATTATTATTATCTTCCCAAAATTCTTACAATCTAAAATAGTTATATCTATAAATAACTTGCAAAAGGATGATAACCTGTAAAAATCAATACTTGCCCTTTTATTCCTTATATTGCGAACCATTTGCACATGCTCGTTTAGGAGGATACTTGTTGTTTCCCCTCTGCTCCTCTTCAATATGCTCCTGTATGTGTCAAATTCTCCAAGTCCTCTTTCCTTATTATGTGTCTCCAGAATTTCAAGAGTCTCTTTTTGATTCTAAGTGTCGTTTTTGCTTGTTGCTCATCTGTTTCATACGTAGGACCATATTTAGATTTTGTCTAATGATTTCTAATTATCTTTGAAACAACTTTACATGGTTTATTTAATGAAAGCTTAACGTCATTCAGCTTGATATTCAGTTTACGTAATCTTTATCGTAATTATTTGTTAGCAAATAAATAAAACGGATTATTCTGAAGCTAGCCAGTTTCCAACTTCGTTTAAATTTACATTTTTATCTCTACCACTACTAATAACTTAATAGCAGGAGTTGAGTTTTAACTTACTTTTGAAAAAGCGTCTTTGCAATTCAGAAAAATTATTTATTTAAGAAAATATGAAAATGAAACTGGAAAACAAAAAAAAATGTGAAGGGTAACATTTTCACGTATGCCACTTCTTCAGTTTTAAAGTCAGAGTAATCAATTTCCTAGACTGATTGCTACCCAAGGTTAAAAAAGACTATACTATTTAATCCATAGTTGGGAGGAGAGGAGATGGATTCAAGAGAATATGTGTGAAATTGGGCGATTTTTAAACTGTCTCTGCGGTTCCAGTATCCACGCGCCAATAATCTTAACATGAATCATCCACCGTGATCTAATATGTTTATTTTGCAAAAATAAATATTTCTGTAATATATATATATATATATATATATATATATATATATATATATATATATATATAATATATAAAATAATATATTTTATAAAAAATAAATATACCATTCTTTCATTATTATTCGATGTCACAATTAGTTATATTTTTTTCTTTTTAAAATTCAGCTTCCATATGATTTTCTTTTAAGCCGTTGAAATAAACTCACAAACACAGAACAGTCGAATCAGCGTAAATTTAAAAGATGATTATAGAAAAAAATCTAATTAATAATTTTCAGTTGGGTGAACCACTTATATTTTGCCAATTTCCTATGTTGAATTTGTTCCAAAGTAGAGTGATTCACAATGTATCATCATTTTACGGGTATCAATATTTTATGGAAAAAATATATTAATATTACCTCAAAGACTCAAAGTACTTATAAATGGCTTTAAAATACTATGACAGCCATTCTATGCACTAAAATCTAATTTAATTCCAAAACCAGAACACGAATGCATTATTAAAAATATGATTAAAAACTGATCAAATTCGTATAGTCACCAATTTATCTAATACAGAGTGCTGTGACCATTACGAAGCACTTTTTAATAAAATAGGAAATAATTTAAGAAAATGGGTGAGCTTTCGATGAAATGTGAAAGGGTGTTAAAGTTTCTTTGCATGACCAAGAAACCCTTCCTAAATTATGTGATGCTTACTCAGAATTTGGGAAACGTGTCGAGAACATTTTAGCATACCCTCGAGTTTAAACAATTAATTCAAATCAACAAGATTCAAGCACTTCGATATAATGTTTAGCGTGCAAATTACGTTAACCTTAGAGTTTATGTTTCACAGTAACTTTTTTATGGCCTTGTATTAAAATAACATAGAATTTGCTTTGTCAGAAATACAGATAAAATTCATTCGATTGTCCATTAATGATAAGTGTAAATGATCGCTATCATATCCCTAGGAAGACTGACAAGATCTTCTTCTTTTATGTGCCGTGAGCCTGATATTTTCCAACGTCCTATCCTTTCTAGCGCTAAACAATATTTATCCCTCCTAGACAATGATCTGTCAGATATATACACGAGTTCATTAGGTAGGTTACTCGATGTTTTCTCTCTCCTCTTCTTGTTTTCAGTATGTTCTGTTAGTTTAACATTCTCCAAGACTTCTTTCCTCATTAGTCCTCAAAATTTCAGCTCTTTTTCTGATTCAGTTTAAGTACTCTTTTTTGGTTTTCTTTAAAACTTCATCTTTGTATACAATTTCTGTTACGTTAAGTCCCCGTTTCATCTGTAAGCTAATTGCCCAGGTTTTATTTAATAATCGCTTAAATGTCGTCATTCGGTTATCTAGTAACTTTTTTATTTATATAATTTTATTATAATTACTTACAAATAAACAGATAAATAATGTGAATAAATAAATGAATAAATAAAACGAACTCTTTTCTCATGTCCCCCTAATTCCAAATGTCTTTTCTGGTTCTAATTACCTGTGTCTTTTTCGTTCACATTTACCTTTAAAAAATTTCGTTGATCACATACTACGTCCATTGTATTCTTAGCATCCTTCTGTAGAAACGCATATCTGTTGCCTCACGTCTCCTCTCCATCTGTTAGGAAACTGTTCGCCATTCACTGGTATATCGAAGGGTTCATATCATATAGCAGTTCAGAATTCTTTTCTTTATTTCTAACGAAAATTTTCTGTTACTTAGAATTTTGTTTAACTTTTGAATGACACATTTCCCTATTCGAATTCGCCTTCATATTTCTGTGACTCTGTTTCTTTGAAAGAGATACCTCTTAAGTGACTGGTCTAAAGAATGCTGATTGCCAAAATACGTAAGTACAATCACTCCTAATTTATAGAATAATTAGTCAAAATAATAATAATTGCTTACTTGTAGTAAATTTTACTTACTAAATGGTCAGCATTGTGAAAACACTACTTCTATTATTTTCCATTTCAAAACTTCACGTGAGTTCAACTTATACAATTAGATATTTTTTGGCGTTGCTTTCTTGATCCAAAGAGAACAATTTTTTTTTTTTATTATTTAACTCATCTTTCGTGGTCGGATATGATCGGTAAATTCCTGTTGGATGTTTCTTGAAAAGTTTCCTTTGATCTGATCCATTTCTTATGGCTAGAAGATCGATATAAATGCTACAATGTAAATCCGAGAGATGAATACCGGATATTTGACCAGTCCGGAAGCGGGGGCGCTGAATGAAATATAGAAAACGATGAGAAAAATAAGAAATAAATTTCGTATTATCCAAAGGACACGCATAAATCATGAAGCAACAGAAGATTAACCTAAGGCCAGAGATGCCTTTGTAGGTTTTGATTTCCTCATTCTACGCCCATGATTATTTTTTGACTTCTTAAAATAGAAAAAATATCAGTTTCTTTCAATTAACAAATATCGCTAACTTTAAGATCAGGGAAAAAAAACATTGATACTGAAAAAAGACTGTAAGCCAGTCGGTGAAATCTTACTCAAAAACAATTTTTTTTCTTTAATTTGGGGAGACTATCGTATGAAGTTGTTTAATGAACAATGTTGATGCATGAAATTTGAGGTAAGTGAAATTTTTTTACTGATATTGTAATTAGTACATCGGCTGTTTTGATTAACTGTACTTTCGATTATTTAATACTACTTTCGTCATTCTGATTCAAGCTCACTTCTTGGCGTTTGATTCATCGATTTCACAAAAATAGTTAAAATATCAGTGTGATGATTACTAACAAAGGGAACAATTCCATGTTCGTATTCTTAATGCAGGGTGACAGTTATAGATAAACACAACGAAAATTTATATTATTTAAATGACAATTATTAACTGCTTGTAAAATCAAATGAACTGTTACGCGTTCATAAAACTGCTTGATACACTGAAGGTGATTGACACATTTTCAATATGTGAATAGATAGATAGATAGATAGATAGATAGATAGATAGATTTGAATAGAACGCGATGGGCAGATAGGTTTGAACAAACTGAAGTGGGCCGATATATAGATTTGAATAGATTGAGAGGAATAGATAGGTAGGCATTGCAGGTTATTATAGGTTCTTGAATATACCGATAGCAGAGTTAACGTTAAGACAGATAATATATCGTGTTGCGTTAAAGAGAGGCCATTCTTACTTTGAAACACTGCATTTTGAATCTTAGCTTTTACCTAGGGTCGGACAGCAAACTACAGGTTCCTTAGATAAATGTATCTCCTATCAATGAGATGGATAGTAATTTCCGTAAAATATCTCGAAACATTTACAACTAATATGTGTGGCAAATTGATATATTGTGTGTAAATATATGTATAAAGGAGGCATAAATAAAAGCCATGGTCAATAGATAATCGGACGATATATAATCTAACGTGATACCCCCGGGGTTTTGTTTAATGGATTTGATGACGTAAAATATGGAAACATGAGAACAGCGTCAGTCGACATATAGACATGTGTAGTGATATTGCTTTTGTACAAAGATAATATGTTTCATCATCATTAACATCATTATTTATTATTACTATTATTATTGTACACAATAAATCTTTCGACGCTGTACATTTGTTCACGTACTTGACTAAATCGTTCATCTTTAACGCATCAAATATTTTCTCATTTGCCTACTTTTTCTGTTTTCCGTATTTCCCTTTCCAGTTAATCTTCCAGGAATCTATTGTTACCTGTGTATTTGATCGAACTTCTTGATATATATTCCGTAAGCACATAACTAAGGAAGAAAAATCTATACTTGTTTTTTTATCATTTCTACCATATATTTCCACGTATAAGGTGACCTTTAGATAAGACGAGTTAAAAAATATATCAAATTTTCATGAATTTATCCTATACATGTAGTCTAAGATAACTGATTATTGATTATATAAAAATGATGCCATTGGAAATTTTGTCATTTACTTTATCCTTAAAAA